CTATCTATTTTTCGGAAAAATCTCATCTTGTCTTTTTTAGTCTTCTATGTCTAGTTCGGAAGTGTATACTTATCCAGTGCTGGGTAAACGAATGTGCAATCTGCGAGCAGATTTTAAAATTCCACCTTTTACGATTCTTGTATACCTATAACAAAAATAAAAATAATCTAATTATACAGCTAATCCATTTATATATATTAAATTGGTTTAAATTTGAATCAATAAAACTTAGGACCAAGTACCTACCTATAACATGTCAAACAAAAGTTGATGATTTAATTACTTACAAAATTACAACTTTTTCTAGCTTTCTGTGCAGCAAACTCTTTACGATATCATAACATTCTATACTTTGTAGCACAATATTCTCAATAGGCGTTTTAGAACTAACGAGCCCATATTATTTTCATGAGATATTGATGTTCGCTAGTAATTCTTCACCCATTTTAAAACTAAGAAGGATCTCTCCCCGCTAGCGTCGGGGCATGGTATGGATACAAACAGTTTTGGAGCTATTTCCATTTAAGGAAATGTATAGTTTAACTTTGATGTTGTTAATGCTTCAAGCAAACTGCATAATGAAAATAATAATTGTTTGGTAGTGTACAAATAAATTGAAACTATTAATATCAAATTTAATTATCTGATAGTTATAATACGGAGAATACAACAATTACCATTATGTATGTATACTGCTGTAATCGTATTGTATACAATATTTTAAACCAACTCGAAAACAAGTGATATAATATAAACATAAACGGAAATGCATAGGTCCCAGACCCCAGTGCTATAATAATATGGTCGTCTTTCCAAGAACACTATCACTAATATGATAACTCGGTCGTAGGCGGTATAATATAATATGATATTACTATTATTATTTATTATGCATCATTTTCAATAATTAATAATTTTTCTTAAAAAAGTAATACATTAAAAAACGTCAAAAATGTTTCACCCTTAAACATTTTCCACCTGGCGCAGCTACTGCCGTCGTCCGGTTAAGCGTATTCAACCTGGATCAGCATTCTTCTGTTGAGTATTGTACATCTTTAGTAATTTTCAGCTTAAAATAATTTGCATATATTTATTATTGTAAATGTATGTTCAATTTATTTTTAATTTCCACTGACAATAATTTATGAGTTATGACTTATGAGGAACCTTGCATTATATTTCATTGACATTATTTTTTTTTTTAAATTAATGAAGAAAGAAAATTTCAAATACCAGCATGAGCCAAAATATTTTGAAAATATTACGGTGTATAGGCAATGGTTATATAAAGATTCAGTGAAAATGTAATTTATTTACAATAGATTTTCTTAGAGTTACACCAAAAACCAAAATCGATTTTGTCGAAAACCAATTTAGCGTAAGAATACATGTTATTCCTTATCCCCCCTCCCCCCCGTCGCTTATGATAACTACCGGGAATTTTAAATTTTAACCTCTCTCACTTTCCAACTGGAAAAGATACTGAAGTTGGAAAGAAATCAAAGCATTCCTTCGACTACTTATCGTGTGACCTACTGACTACTGACGTGTACACAGACACCATAATATGATTATAATTATAAAAAAAGATTTTAAAAAAATACACACATCATTGTAAGATCAATCGCTCCGCTCAGAATCTAAAAAATAAAAAAATAAATATTAGGACAGTGAAGTACTGAAGTGTATAATGTTATTATTTTACAATCTATAGCCATAGCTGGATAGCTGTTTAAGATGTCTTAGATATCTATGTCTATAATAGTGTGTAGATGATTGCCTGATAATAATATTATTATCAACTCTTAAATAAAAATAAAATACAAAATCGTATTTTACAGCGCCATCAAGCGACAAAAGTGAGCGTCAATCACTGGTGGTGGTTCTTTACCTCGTTGTTCCAAACAACGGCGGTAGATAGCGCTATCATTATTGTTTGGATCACGAATTAAGATATTATTCGTAGTTGGATTTTCATGCAAACGAATCATTAGCTGGCTCCACCATCAGACAACAACGCTGAGGCCTCTATAGTGCCTTTATTCCGATTTATTCGGCGAAAACTCACCCATAAACCGCGGACGCTGGACTGAAAAAACCTTCCAGGATACTAAGGTTCTGGATGTACAAAATACATCTAGAAAATCCAACCACGGGAGTATCACAGTTATAATCAAATAATACTTATGTGTACTCCTGCAGGTTACTCAAAGGTCACAACCTGCTACCACATCAACCATTCAAATGTTAAGATCAATGTAAAGCTCCGACCAGTAAGTTTTTGTTGAAATGTTCAATAACGAGGTCATTTGATTATAAATTATGATTAATATATCTCATATAATTTGTAATATTGCATATTTTTAAACGAATTCTAACTCAATTATACAAAGCGTACGTGCTTAGTGAGGTGCAAAACTAATAATAATGTAACATGAAATATTTTGACTCTGTGCATAACCATTTCAATGTAACAAAATAATATCTAAATAATTTAAAAACCAGCTCATAATGCTCATAATGCTCACAATTCTCTTAATGCTCATAATGCTTATGATCGCTGTATTGCTTTATCCTTGTATTTAATCATGTTAACAATCCATCACTAAATATAGAACTTCGGCACCAATTTTTTTAAAGTAGTAGAAACTCATATTATTAGTCATTAGGAATTAAAGTTATTAAGCTAATATAACTTTTTCATAATTATTATTATTCAGTTATAATATAAAAAATTATGTTATGATAGTAGCGATAGGTGGTTGCGGTAGATAGGAGAGCAAACATTATGTATCGGAGAGTGAACTTCAATTATCCATTCTTTATACTAGATCGATAAAAATTAGGTGGCTTTGATTGAGGTTTGAAGTCGTTACGGCAATGAAGTAGAGAGCTATGAAAACCTTGAAATTGGATGTCACTAGACACTAGTAGTTATACATGTAGTAGTAAGTTGGTCTGAAGTAAATAGGTTTAATAGTAAGTAGTAACAGGACTATACTCTATAATCTATATAGACCATATAGTCATATAGAGGATCCTGAAAGCACGACAGAGTGTCTGCTTTGAAGGTAAGATTCAAATAATATTATGTTGTGATTTAAATACCTTTTAATATTAAATGGAATAGTCCACCGAAGAACTCGATCCCACTGTAAGCTTCACCGATGGTTAAGAGTTAGGTTAAACACTGTATTACGCATGATGCTGACCTATATCGGGTAATATAACATTGTTCTTTATTTTATTTTGCATTTTTCGGTTATTTTCCGATTGAGTCCGCAGGACATACGGCCTTAATGGTTTTAAAGTTGACAATATATATTTATATTGTAAGTTGTGTATTTTAAGCAAGTAGTGTTTTGTTTGGTAAATTGTCCGATCGTATCCGCAGGAGCAACGGCACTTTATGAGGTTTTAGTTTATATATCAAGGTTTTATAGGTTGTAGACTTATAGTTTATTTATGAAGTTTCACATGCATTTATAACTGATTACTGGTTGACTTAAGGTTTCGTGAGTTTTTGTTAATTTGTACTTCTGTAGGAGTTTTGCCAGTTGCCTTTCTCTACAAATCATAATACACCTCCCCTAGTTATCCGAAATCAACCATTTTTATTATTCTATATTAATTCCCTTTTGTTTATGTTTTTAATAATATACATATCCTTCAGGTTCTTTCACCAGTATGGTGCTTTCCACGTCATGAGTTGGAGAACTTATATCTTTAAAAAAAAGATATTTTTTTTTACGATCGTGAGGTTTTTTACAACTGATTTCATGGGTTACAGTTTTTTCATTTTTTAGAAGCGGTTATTATTTCAGAAAGAGTGTAGGATAACTTATAAATTATATAGGTATATAATTTAATGTACATTTTTTTCCCAGTAATTTTAATATATCATCGTACATCGTACAATGGATTTATTATACGTTTATGGCTAATACAACAATCAGGGTAGTATAACAGTAAAACTGTTCAGTTTTTTTCGCTAACTATTTCTAATAAGTATTATCAATATAGAAAATGTGCGTGACACATCGATAGTAAATGATGATATATAATCATCGACCACTAGCTAAGTATAAGTTAGCTGATGTGACTAACTATAGTGATTTTGACGCCATGTACTACACCACTGCAAATTATTTTTTCAAGTAAGATTTAACTTATAAAGCTACACCTAAAGGCTAAAATAATATTATTATACTCTCGTCATTAAAGCCGACCCCAGACTAACGGTCTACAAACAATTGACTGTTTTCGTTCAACTAAAAGTCGTGCCTATTTATTTATTTTTCAATTTTACTCAGAAAAATAATATAAAGCTTCTGTTGTATTCTGTAAGTAAAACTTGTTATTATTTACTTCGTGCACATACGCGAAACAATAAATTTCAGTTGAAATGTTCAATAACTAGGTCATTTAAGATATTTTAATTTAAAATGAATGTATCTCGTTACAATAGTTTGTAATATTGACCATGTTTAAATGTATTCCGATTCAACTGCACTAATTTCTGCGATAAGTGAGTCACAATATCAATAATAATGTAACATGACATATTATTTAAGCCCTGTGCATCACCATGTGTACGTAACAAAAATAATATTTATTTTAGAGAACGAATACTTATAAAGCTTATGAGTTTTATAAATCTATAAAATCAAATGTGATTTTTGATCCATGAAATTATTTTAACCATCTCGCACTTAATATAGAACATATAGGCAGCAATTTTTCAAAAGCAGTAGACACTCATGATTAGCCATCAGTTATTATGGCTATTGAACTAATTAATACCTCATTAAGCTGAGAATATTAAACAAATAAAATAGGTATTATAATTTATTGCAATTTATTAATTAAAATGTTATTTTGTTTGTAAATTAACAAACCAAATTTTTTTTTAAAAAGAACATTGTTTATTAGTTTTTATACATATTAATTTGTATTTAATTTATTATTATAAATTTATGCTATTTGTTTAATAGCCGAAGAACATAAGTAACAATGGGATTGCAGAATGAGCATTCAATAATTAATTTGCAGTATATGAAAATTACTGGATTCTATCAACTACTAATACCATCAGATGGCGTAAAATTATTCAATATAAATATTTATAAGACTGCATTCATCGTGCAAATATTAATCCTTTCTGTTACCACAATAATGGGGTTTTATAGCATTTATGCTTTTATAAATGATGTAAATCAAATATTTAATTATACTATAATAATTTTCGCTGCTAACTTTGCAATTTTTAAGTATTACTTTATAATAAAAAATGCAAAAACCATTTGGAATTTCATGCATAATATGATGTCCACCAATTTCTTGTGTTATAAAGGCCACACGAAAGAAATATATAAAATTGGTCGAAATAGATCCTCAACTTTAATATTGATTTCCTTTGGTCTATGGTCAAATATCGTACTATATTGGAGCTTGTCGGCAATTTTAAGCAAAAACAGTTATTTTAAATTAAAATTCAAAGATGGTGTTTATAATTATCGTTCAAACGCTATTGATTTGGTTTATCCAGTAACTGATACATTTTATAATAAATATTTTCTTGTATTTTATCTACTTGAAACAATTTTATTGATATTTTGGAGTCAAATGATGTGGGTTTTTGATATTTTAATGATTTCGGTGTGCATAAGTATTGAACACCAACTGAAGACTATTGCTGCTTCATACAGTTTAATAGGCCTCAATCATAATGAATTGACTCGTGAGTTATATATGTTTTGAAATACTATCGAATTCATATTTTCGAATAGAATATGTCAACATAAAAACATTCACAAATATATTTTACCTGTATTTTTATTCAGGTAACAATAAAAGTACCAAAAACGTTGAAGCTATATTAGATTTAGAAGTACTGATTCAAGATCAACAAAATATTTTAGAGTAAGTAAATAGTAAATACATACTAAATTATGGTTGATCAACAACAAATTAAAATTATGATTTATAAGTATGATGATTTTTAAAATTGTTATTTTTAACGATATAGCAGGACTATTTTAAATATAATTACATGGAAATTGATCTACTGTCATATACTTAGTAGTTCTAGATAATACATTTTTTTATCAAGTGAAAAATTTGCATACCTACGTGCTACGTCACACATTTGTTACTTGTATTATAAACAATTAGATGCTTAAATAATTTTAATATTGTTTCAGAAAAACGAAAAATATGTATCAAATTCTTAAACCAGCTACATTTATTCAACTAGCAGCTGAATCATTTCAAATTATTTTACAGCCTTGTATGATTTTAAAGGTACATTTATTACTTTTACAAAAATGTTGTGTCTTAAATTAATTAAATATTTATTTTTTAGCTTTATTTTGACGGATCATTATCGCCAACACTTTTTTTTAAGTTATCATTTCCAGAAATAACATATTTATGCCATTTATTTCTCACTTGCTACTTGTTTAGCATTGTTAATGAGCAAGTATGTATTATACATAGATATAAATACCTAAATATATACTTAACCTGTAATGAATTTGTAATAACATTTTTAAAAATGAGTTAATTATTTTTAAATTACAAATTGAAATACATTTTTGAATAAAAAATTTGATCTCATCTTGGAAAATTATATACATAATAAATATTTTAGGTACTTTCATATTTTAAATTTAATTTAAATTTTAGAAAGAGTCCATGAACTTTGCCCTTTATAGTAGTAATTGGACGGCTATGAGTGTTAAATTCAAAAAGCTACTATTGTTTACAATGCGAATGAATGATGCTGAGAATTTGAAGATGCAAATATCAATAAAAAGAATGGTCAATATGGAAATGTTTGCGGATGTAAGAATAACAAATATAATGATTCAAGTTATTCTATTATAGTAGACTATTATGTTTATTATTTTTTTTAAGTATTGTTGAGTATATAATATAAAATATAATAATGTATTCCAAGCAAAATGCATTTAGATGATTAGGTATATTGTATACAATTGATATTTTATAACTGGCTTAATATTCATTTTTGATTTTAGGTGATGCACACAACTTATAGTATAGTATCAGTAATGACAAAAAGTTATAGTACCTGATTATAGAAATATAATTACAAGTATATGAGAACACTATGAACTTTGGGTTTATGTATTATGAAACTTTTTGGTAGTTGTGTATTTTTTAATTAGTGAGTTGAAAAAATAATTGAGATTTCTGTACATTACTTATTTTATAGAAGTAAGAAATTAGATGAAAAATCGCAATATAAAAATTTGAAGGTTCAAACTATTTGAAAATATTAAGAAATTATAGAAATATGGATATCTACTAAATATAATTAAAATAAAAGCCTTTATAAAAATAAATAATTTTGTATTATAGTGTGATTTTTTAGAATTATTTTTTGTATCTAATTTTTAGTTTAAGATATACCTACCATACAACAAAATACTTTGTAATTGGTTCATAGGTATTAGAATAATAGAATTAGATACTAATTGTAATATAATATTATAAGTATGAAACAAAATTATTTGTTCTATATGAAACATATAGAACAGTACAGAATACATCCTGCTTGAACTTGGCACAACTTGTGACACACACAAGACATTTTCCGACGGGTGGCCTCCTCACACTATATAATATTATAAAATATACAATGTATTATACCACCCTGCGAAACTATGTTACGAAAGAAATATTATGCACCACCAAATATGTTTAATATTTTAGATCAGTACCTACGCTCAGACAGAAGTCTTAAAAATCATACAATTCTACCAACCACAAGATCGGGCACATTTTGATCCTATCATCGGACATTTTTCTACCAAAATAGTGGAAGGGTGTGATCATCGTCACTAATATAATCTTCCAAATAAGCCGCACAAGTCAAAAAACGCTCAGTCAGCTTTCTCTGGACACTCTCATTTCTGTAATGTACATTTGTTAACGTACATGCATCCTGTATTACAGTATACACCGGCACGGACCCAGAGCATAGATGCATAGATCTGGTTTGGGGGCAACAATTTTGTTACAACACAAATTTAATATATATATTAAGTACATCGATTTCAAGTACAGTATTTATAGTATATATAATCTATGGTTGTATCCAGAACTATAGGCATTAATATGGGGTAAGGGGAGCTTACCCCCTTGATCCATAACTTGTAAAAGATTTTTAACAAATTATCTCAATAGAAGTTCAAATTACAAATACTCGTCTTCTAATTATTGACTCGTATACAGAAGTCATTATATAGTCATTCCTCTGTAGTATTATAAAATCTGTTTCAATTACGTAAACCCAAATTCCAACGACTATACCTTTGTAATTTTGACTTTTGTTCAAAAATAAAATAGGTACGTACCAATTATCCTTCATCAGAGATTCTGAATAAATTTCTATTAATAATTAATTATAAATCGAGTTGTCGGGGTATTCTAAACGGTCATCCTACCACACGTCAGTGCGACGTGGTGTACAATAGAGTAAATACTTACAGGGAATTTATAATTCACATCGATAACAACAATGTCTTCAAAAAAAAAAACAACAATGTTGTCTTCTAGAACAACAATCGAAATTCCTATAGTTCCCTTTGTTAACAAGGAAACTACTGTAGGAAAGTAGTCAGTATAGGTAGTTATATCATCGATCCCGTCGACGCATAACACCGAATTCACCAGCCACTACAGATATACGAAGACGCACAAGAAGGGTATTTATAAATATACTTACCCAATACCTATAGAAATAATTTTAATAGTTTTAACTAAATTATATCATACCGCTATAAATGCGTTCTCCAAAGAATAATATAGAGGAATCAGATCGGGTTATTGTAAATTCCATCTTTGAATGTTCACTTTATAAATACCTATACATAAATGTACTAGTAGTTACTCCCAACTTACTTTAATGATTAAAAACGAGCATATTTATTCTGTGTTTTAGTCAGAATACCAGTAAAATATAATAGGTGTATGATTAGATTTAAATTAAATTAGGTAATTTGTCTCGTATTTAGCGTCACAGCAACTAATTACTCGGTTTTGATAATTATACTATATTTTTAATTGTTTTAATTTTCTATACGTACGAGGTAGCTAAACTATGCTATTGATTATTATCTATTATACATATATACATTTTATTATAAACGTATCTTTTAAATGTATATAACTGGTTATTTATGAGACAACGGTCAAATACAAATGTAGCACTATAATTAAGCAGCTGAATAATTAAAAAGAAACATGTAATTAACGAATAGTCGAATTGATATCAGTATGCATGCATAATTTAATGAAGAGAATTGTTAACATTTTATTTCCATTAAAAATATTCTACAAGAGTCAAACTTCGTGATTTGTTAAAAATACGTACACATAAGTTTACAAAAACTAAACTGATAAAACCAAAATCAAATCAAATCAATTATTGGTTTCAAAGTTTTACGTAAGTTTGTTTGATCATAATATGAAATCTCTCAAAGTAATTACTAGATAAATGTTTATGGATTGTAATGGTGTGGAACACCATTACAGTTTTTATATTTTTAAAATTATTATAATATTACGTATAGTATTAAAAACAATATACTATACATATGTCATAGACGTGCGTGTCATCTTTCATTCGTTCTGTAATAACACGGAGTAAAGCTATATGTAGGCATAACTATTTCGTATAGTGAAAAAAATTTGTAATAATCGTTCAGCCTGCTAGAGATACGTCAGCCGATCTAGTCTCGTTTCACCACTTGCTCCGTGTATTGTAGCTGCCAGGTCATTGGTAACGTAAAATAATTTATATTACATTTTGATTTACATTTTAAATATACGTTAAATTGTACTCGGTATAACTAGCTGTCTTGTCGAACGTCCAAATCCTCTCACATTCCCCCGTTTGGTACAGATCTATCACTACAGATACACAATCACACACCGTATAACAGCAGTGATACCCAATAATTTAATTGTTACCACGTAACGGGATACTTAAGCAATTTTAAGTTAATTTAGGTAGTATAGGTGAACTTTCCGTTATAATATTATGTTTACCTGCATTTAGATTACTTTTATATTATATGGGGCTTTTACAATTTTTGCGGTATCTCAAAATAACGTTGATGTTGTGTGCCACTTTTAAGGTTGTAGTTTGGGCCTCATCAACCTAGCTAAAAGTACATTATTAACATATATTTTATTATATTGTATGAATATATTTTACTCATAAATCAAGTTAGTTGTAGTACAATTGTTCCCACTGTTCCCAATGTTCCCCAATGAAATGAAAACGTAAGATAATTTATTGTAACCGTAGGTATACGTATGTACTACGTGTATAAATTAGTAATATTTCAGTTGATAATAAAACATGTAAAAATCTGGAATATTTTTAATTCATGGCCATGCTGTTTATTCATGTTTTAAGTGCTGTAATAAATACGAACTCTGGAAATTGAATTAGGTAAATTTCTATAATTTAAATTGAAAGTGTAATGCAGTCATGCAGATTACCAAAATTGAAATTAAGATGAAGCCCAAATTACATACCTACGTACTTTTTTTTTTTTCCGTTTGAACGGACAGCAGAGGAGGATCTGTGTGAACACTACTACTCCTCAACATACCTACCCACTTAAATGAACCTACTAGTTAGGACCTAATTACGGCAGTTGTTCTCAAATTTTTTCACAACTTCCTAATAAACGGCGACACTCGAATCATTATGACCTAAGAATATTATAAATAACATTAAAATTCTAAAATACATGTCGAAAATTTTTTTTTTTATGTGTATCATCACGGCACACTAGTTGAGAACCATCGCACTACAACACGAGTAATATTCAAATTTAATTAGAAACCCCTTAAAATATTATATACCATTCTTTTTATTTTAACAGAAACTACAGAAAATCAAAATCAATTTAATAATGATGCCAGATAATAGAATAAAATATATAATGAATATAAAATTGATGAAGATGACCGGATTATATCAGTTATTGAACCCAGACACTCCAAAACCATTCGGTTGCAATATTTTCAAACTAGGTGGAACACTTGCATTAGTATATCTTACATTAGTATTTATTATGTGTAATTTAAGTATATACTATACTCTAAACAATTTTAACGAAACCGTAAAATATTTCATGTTAATAATTGCCACATTATTTGGATTGATCAAAATGAGCTTTATAATGTGCAATTCAAATGCACTATGGAACTTTATAAGCTTCACGTCAATAGATTATTTGACTTATAGAGGCCAACAAAAATATATACTTATAAGTGCTCGAAAATTATCGATATCAATCTCAAATATTTTCACATTGTCTTGGATAGCAATAATATCAGTATGGATTTTATTTCCAATTATAGCTAAAGACAATTTTATGAATGTTAAAGCCAAAGATGAAACATACAGCCAATATCGATACAACATGCTCAATTTAATGTTTCCAGTATCAGCTCAATTTTATAACAACAATTTCATGGTGTTTTATTTTCTTGAGACTATAGGAGTAATATTTTATGGTTATTCCATGGTGGTTTTTGATAATTTGGTCATTTCTGTGTGTATAACAATCGCATACCAGTTAAAATCGATTGCATTATCATACAGAACACTAGGCTATAATAATATTGACACCGATTTTGAAAGTGCTGGTAAGTTTTACTTTTTATGTATACAATAATAATGCTACGTTAGCATAATAAAATCTTACAATCTAAGCATTTAATAACATTATGGTAATTTCACTGTGATATGATAATAATTATTAATATTTGAATCTCTATAGTCCATAGTTATAATGTAAAATTACAGTTTTCTTTGAAAACATTAAAAATTATGAGTACGTCCTTCAATGTTACTCTGTACTCATGATAATATATTAGTTTTAGCTATACATAATAATTGCTAAGATAACAACTAAAAAAAACACACATGGGGACGAGGTGACCGAGTGGTCTGACTCTTCCGCTGCGACGCAGCCGGTCGCGGTTCGATCCTCGGCCACCGGGCGGCATTTTTCTCCGGACAAGTCGCGGTGACCGGAGAGCAAGTGCTGCCATCCCCCACCCCCGGGGCATGGCAGAAACCTACGGGTGCCCCATTCGAAATTCTGCCAAAACAAACACACACGTGTTCCCCCTACCGTTCCAAAAACCTACAAACCATCAATAAAAAAACCTACAGTACCTACTAATAGCTAATGGCCACAGTTGCCGGGCTTAGGATAAAAAAAAAAAAAAAAAAAAACACACATATATAGCTATCATCTATACATGATAGTATGTTTCTATTTTAGACGTGAAAAACAATCCATTAAATGAAAGATTCAATGACTTCAACAACTTAATATTTATAATTCAAGATCATCAAAAATTTATGAAGTATGTTATGAAAAAATCATTATTTTTTGGTTTTTAATATATTTTTTTGGATTCTAACTAAAAAATATATACTTATTATTTTTTTTTTTTATAAATTAAAACATCTCATACACACTACAATTTTAGGACAATGAATGAAGTTTATAACTTGTTGCGTCCAATTTTAATCTTTCAACTGTTTGCCGAATCAACATTAATAACAATACAACCATTTTTAACCATATTGGTATGTACCTATGATTTTATACAAAGCGTATTAAAATGAATTATGACCTACTAAATAAATTGTGTGTTAATTTTAGAATATCAATAGTGGGCATTCGCCTACTTCACTAGAAAGTATTAAACTAATATTATCTTCATTGACAAACATGGTCCACTTATTTTCAACATGTTATATGTTTAGTATAATTGATAATTGTGTAAGTATATTACATAAAAATAACAACACTTAGGTATTACCCACTATTACGTATTAATTGTTTACTAAAAAGCACTGAACAATTTAATATTTCAAATAAATAATTGTTGACAATCGACAATGAAACTAACCTACATTTCCAGATGATTGTTTTCAAAATGTTGAATGTTAATATATATTATGCTGATTTTAATGTCGATAAATAAAAACTGAAATGAGCAGTTTCTGAGTTATTAAAATGAAAATACGTATAAGAAAAATATTCTTTAAAAATTCCCATAAAATATGTGTGATAATAGATCTAGTATTTATTATACACTGAAAATGTTTATAAATGAAAAAATGTTGATGGATTAATATTCAAATTATATATAGGTACATCAACGTTTTCAAAGTAGTCATTACCTTAACAATGTATTACAAATTTAATGGTTGATACTCATTTGAAAAAGGAATCCCATTTTAATAATTAATTCATTCAAATTTTAATTTTTGGAATTTGAATGAATTAATTATTAAAAGGGCGCCTAAAAGGATTAACATGACGTATAGACAGTAATAATAATAGTATCTAATTAGTTCAAATGAGCTGTAGTATATTGTACATTATTAACGTTTCTTTTTTTATTGAAAAGAGATAAAGATAAGAGATAAGATAGAGACTTCAACAGCTCAATATCCGAGTTGATTAGCCTTTTTCGATAAGTAACCTTTATATTGCTTTTTTTTACTAATGAGTTACTCCTTTTTTCAAATCTTCATGTAAAAATTCAAATACTAAGGAAAAATATTCTTATCGTACCAAAAAATAATATAGAGATCAATAAATAAAAATATTTTATTTCTTTAATTAAGACTTATTTCACAATTGTTTATTATGTTGTAATACTTATGACTGTATTTCAGAAAAACAATATTAATTTTGCCTTATATGATTCTAATTGGACAGAAAAAAACATCACGTTTAAGAAATTATTATTACTTTCAATGCAAATAAATAACTCGGAAAATTTGAAACTAAAAGCAACTGCACAAATAATAGTCAACTTACAACTGTTCACAAACGTAACTATACGCAAAGTTATTTTTATTTTTTACATTATTATTACATTATACTATAGTTACACCATCCAGTGTTGCCCAAACGAAGATTTGGATTTCTTTTAAAAAAATGTATGCGTCATATTCTTAGGGAGGATTCTAAACTTAAAGTTCGTATATTTTGTCATTCAGTGGCAAATTAAGGAAATCTGTTACAACTGTAGAGTTATACTTTATGTTACTTAAATAATTGCACCACTGATATATTTTTAAATTTGATTTTACTGAACAAATGGAGCCACTGTTGTATTCTTAAAACCCTCTATATTCCCTTTTTAGAGGTTGAATTTCCGAAATTCTATTCGTAGGGAACGCGAACCCCATAATAGTATGCCAAATGTCATCCGATCCATCAGTGGTTTGATCTGTGTGTTAAAAGTCAGTCAGTAATGTTATCCTTTTATATTTATGTATAATAATACATAGATTACTTTTATATATAGAAATGTATTAATAACGATTACGTTTTATTTTTTCAGGTAATTCATACTACTTACAAAATAACATCAGTTCTGGCAAACCGATACAGATAGACAGATTGAAACTGATGTAAGAAATTAGTAGGTGCACGTATTGAAAATATTTCGCTGACTACAACACAACGATGAAATTGTAATAGTATGGCAAATATATGTAATCTGCAGCTAATATGATTATAACGACTGTAATACACCTTTTAGAATGGTCATTCTACTTCAACGCGTCAAGGAAAAAAAAATAACATGCCACAAGATATTTTTCCTCTGAGAATAAAATTATTGAATCATAGATAAGTTTTTGTTTGTATTGTTGATTTGGGTTTCTATGCTGATAAAAACTGTTGTTTCAGTCCAAAAACAATACACAAAAATGTATAAACATATCTATATGTTAAAAAATTACAGCAATGTAGCAATATTATTACGAACTCACAAAAATAAAATTATTATAATATAAATACTACATTGACCTTCTACTTCATTTACTATTATGTCTTCTCTTAGAATAATTGTGTAGGAATTATTCAAATTGAATATTTAATAAATTAAACTTTATCAGAGGCAATGAATCCAGTTAATTAATTTTAATACACCAATAGGTACTAGCATTTACTGCAGTGTTTTACAAGTTCCCTAAAAAAAGAAATTCGTTCCTTTCCTTGTTGAAAGCACGCCATCGTCATCACCATTCCTGAACTTGGCAAGGACCTAACCAAAACAGTTAATCATCGTCCGATCTCTCTCCTAAACACGATGTCCAAAGTTCTGGAAAAACTTTTTCTCGTCAGACTAAAAATTCTCACCGTCTCTAAAATCTGTCCTGACCAATATGGTTTCAGAAATGCTCACAGCAACACCACTCAACTCCTCAGAGTCATTGACGATATTTCTCTAAGTCTCAATACAAGAATGAAAACAGCTGCATCCTGTTATAGACGTTGAAAAAGCCTTTGACAAGATCTGACACGACGGCCCTATCAGCAAGCTGATTGACTTCAATGTGCTCACGACCTTATCACTATTCTTACTTCTTTCCTTACGGACAGACACTTCTAGATTAAAATTGAAGTCAAAACGTCTACCTCTTGCAAAATCCACGCAGGCGTGCCTCAAGGTTCATATCTTCCTTCTCGTTTCTTTTGTTTCTTCATCAATGACATGGAAACCCAGATTGCCCAATTTCAAAACTGCACTCTTCGCCGACGACACTATTTTCTACTCCACCAGAGACATCGAAAAAATTTAAATACAGATTGACCTTACAGAAAAATGGTTACATGACTGGAGAATTTTTATCGATTCTTTCGAATCCGCTGCAGAATGTTCTCACAGAAATAAACTAAAAAAAAATACTGATTTCAAAAAGGAAATCTAAATTTTTTAGAAGATAGATTGAAAGTTAAGAATTTCCTCCTGGCAACATTGCACTTATGAGGTATTCATTTAAAAAATTTAAAAAATGACATAGTTAAACGGATCATTTATTCTGAGCGTAAAATTTGTTATGCAACACTGTGTGTTTGTAAGACGGAGACAACAAGTACGGTTATAAGACTTATAACGTCTTTTTTAGTGAAACTCGTTGTCATAATAAATACAATATTATGTACCTATAAATACGCTGTATTAATAAAAACTTTTTATTTTTTAATCCATATTAAGGGCAATCAACGATTTTTTTTTTGTGTCATAGAAATAATTTTTAAGAATAAAATATTTAGTATAATAATTATTATCATTCAATTATATTCCCATGTTGTTAATATTATGTCTTCATTCGTTAAATGAATATTTGAAAAAAAAACCCATTTAAAAACCAGGTCCTCGTGTATTAATTAAATAAAAGGTAATTATTAACAAACAATAAATTAATAGGTAACGTATAACATGAATATGAAAACGTTTATTTAGTTTATTTTGCAAAGAAATTATATTTTCAGTTGTGTTTCTACCGATTCGACTATAGTATCTACATTATTTTTTTCACAACTGAAATGCTTTAATTTCAGACCATAAGCCAGAAACTATTAATAATCATTTAAGTTTTTAAAGTTTTTTGTTATGATTAAATCCTCATAGGTACCAAAATGATTTTCAAAAATACGCATTTTACATTTATTTGAAACAAGATTTGTCCTTATACAAGGTGATTATTTTAACAGTAAACTGTAAACACCCACTAAGTACCTTGTAAAGCATTAATGTTTTTTGAAAATATTTTACATAATTTCAAGTTATCGCATCTAATTTCTAACATCTAGTTTTTTCAATAACAACGTACATATTTTTAATTTTCATATTCCAAAGCAGAATATTTTTCTGAAAATTTCAGTACACAAACATAGATTTTCTAACGAGTACCATGATAAATCATTAGTCATAACTTAAAAGTTTTTAAAGATTTGCGTATAGTAGTAGTGTTGTAGGTGAAGTGGTAAAATAGGACTAACATAATATTACAGAGTGTCCTTGAAGATTCACTCCATTCTTCTCATCAAAACTTTAAAATTTAAATACTTATCTAAGTTAAAAGTTACAATTAATTAATATAACAACGTTATGAAACTCTCGTTTCGAAATGTTCATTTTTAAGTATTACAATTTTCAGATCTGATTTGGAATATGAAAATTGTATGCTGTCTATCAAAAAACTAAATAACTAAAATATTATATACTGATAAAAATAAAACATTTTTTTTATGACTTCACATTAGGTATCTATTTAAGAAATTATTGTCAAAATAACGTTAATTCTTATCGAGGTAATGAGTGTTTGCTTAATACTGTTACAAAATTACAAGGCATATAATAATATATATTATTAATTATTATTTTTTTAGTGTATTTCAAATATTTCGAAAATAATATGAATTTCAATGATGAGAAAAACTATATATTTAATCTGAGGTTAATGAAAATTACTGGTTTCTATCAACTGATATATCCAAGCGCCCCAAAGTGTTTTGGATTCAACGCTTATAAAGTTGCAGCTGCAATAGAAGTTATGACTGGTGTACTCTCAGTCTCGTTTCTTTTTTCGAGCTCATATTATTATCTGGATAACACTAATGAACTAATGAGTCACTTTATGTTGGTTGTCGCAATTTTTTTTTCAACTTTTAAAATATTTTGG